GATGATGCCGGTGCTGGATCCCTCGCCAGTCAGCCCGAAGGTGTTCTGGTAGGCTTTCATCGCGTTGATGGATCCCATGAGGGAGCTGTCAAAGCCGTTGAGCGTAGAGACGAGGTAACCAACGCCCATGATCATGTAGAGCTGGATCATGCCGCGAGACCATAGCTTCGGCTTCTCTGCCTCGATAGCAGCGGCTGTATGCTGTCAGCGCATTCTTCCCGTTGTCTCAAACATGATTTTGACTTACCGAGAGCTACGGAAGCTACATTGACCTCCTTGACGTTCGCATGCTTGTTCATGTCGTCGTCAACTGCACTCAGCTGATGCGTCACGGCGCCCATGTCTTCGCTCTTCTCCGCCATCTTGAATGTGTCGCTGGCAAGGACTGGAGAAGATCTGGAGGTGTGGAGCAGAAAAACGGGAAAGCTCTCCACTTGATGGCCGATTTGCAACGATGCGCAAGCTTTCCGGAATACTGGGTCTCTTTATAGTATACAGGCTTCTCCGCAAAACAAGTAGCGCCTGCAGGTAATCTTACCCCATGGCACCGAGGTATCTGCTCTACCTTCCTGACCCGATGCATGGTTTCTGCTCTGCATGCAAACTGTTGCGCTCAGGCGCCACCCGGTTGGCCAAGTATGCTTGTTGTACGGCAATAGCACCGCATTAGGGGCGGAATATTAGCGGGATTACTGGGAAATTTTCAACTTCCAAGCTCGCTATACCACGATGGTACCAAGGCCAAGTAATAGGGCCTTCTGCAGGGGCGGGCCCAGGTCCAGAAGCAGGCCGGTTAGCGGACGGACCTCCCAAATTGTACCAGCTCTGGGGCGCCACGCGCGAAGTCTTTACGAAGGAGATGAATCAAGAATTGAGCCGGTCGATTTGGCATTGAATCGTGATGAACCAGGCGAGGGTTAATGTGGTGTAGCTGGGCTGGGCAGGCGGGGTGTGGGGATGGATTCCTGGAGTAAAGCCAGCCGAGTTGGGCAGCCGCCCCGTTGATCAGACCCCTTGGAAAGGGAAACCAGACACCTACCTCTGCGAATACAGTCGTAAGAAAGTTGACACTCCTGCAGTGCCTCTATGTGTTATAGAAACGCGTTCGGAAATCATCACAAGCTGTAAAGCGCCTGTCCAAAGTTTTCCAAGCTTCCCTTCAACGGAGTCGGAGTGATCAAGCGAAGAACCCCCGCTCGCGCTTGCGCCCGGACATCGCCCCATCAACCCCCCGATGCGAGCCCTTCCCAATTCCTACATGCAAGATGCGCCGTTTATTGCCGACGGATGCCCTGGTCCTGTCACATGAGAAGCAGATGGAACGTCCTCTTGGCATCTACGACATGTGTGCGGACGGCTTCCCTCATCAGTCCAAGTCACGCTGCCTCCCGCAGTACGGCCGCCTTACTGTGGGGTGTCGACAACTGTATCAAAGATAGAGGACGTGGAGCAGTGGTTCGTGGAAGTACCATCAATTCTCAATCCATCCATCATGTCTTCAGGTCAACACCCAGCGAGCGTTCCGGACTGGAACAACCTCGATATCCTCCACAAGAACACGCTGCCTGCGCGCGCATACTTTCACAACTACGCATCGGAGGCTGATGCGCTTATTTCCGATGTGAACAAGTCTACAACCCACAGCCTCTCCGGCACGTGGAAGTTTCAGCATTCATACTCGCCCTTTGAGGCTCCGGAAGGATTTGAATCCACTACATTCGACACATCATCATGGAGCGACATTGCCGTGCCAGGCATGTGGCAGCTGCAGGGTTTCGGCAAAGGCCCGCAATATACCAACGTAATCTATCACATTCCAGTTGATCCTCCCAACGTGCCTTTTACCGAGAACGAGACTGGATCCTACGTTCGTAAGTTCAAGGTCCCGAAAGATCTCCAGGACGGTCAGCTTCGACTCCGTTTTGAAGGCGTTGACGCAGCTTTCCACGTCTGGGTGAATGGTAAAGAGGTTGGCTATTCTCAGGGTAGCAGAAACCCTGATGAGTTTGATATTACTTCGTTTGTCGATCTCAATGCCGAGAACACCCTGGCTGTTAGGGTGTACCAGCATTGCGATGGAACATACATTGAGGATCAAGATCAGTGGTGGCTGAGTGGCATGTGAGTATGGTCCGTCGTCGAGATGAACTCATACTCATTACTACAGATTCCGTGACGTCTTCCTGGTCGGCTTCCCAAAGGCTTCCCGAATCGAGAACGTCTTTGCCCACACGCTTCTGGATCCATCCTACACTGATGCCGAACTCAAAGTCAAGATCAGTGCGACTGGCTCTGGCAAGGTTGCAGTAAAGCTGCTGGACGCAAAGAAGCAAGAAGTCGCCTCATCTGAAGCGGACATCAAGGATGATGGCGTGACCGAACTCAGCATCCAGGTCAAGGACCCACTCAAGTGGACTGCTGAGTCGCCAAACCTTTACCATCTTGTGGTCTCTTCTGGCGATCAAGTTATTGCCCAACGCATTGGCTTCAGACAAGTCGAGATGAAAGATGGACTTATCAAAGTCAACGGTAAGAGAGTCGTGTTCCGCGGAGTCAACCGCCATGAACATCATCCCACTCTTGGTCGTGCTGTGCCGTACGAGTTCATGAAAGAAGATCTTCTTCTCATGAAGCGTCACAACATCAACGCCATCCGCACATCTCATCAGCTCAACGACCCACGACTGTATGATCTCGCAGACGAGATGGGTTTCTGGGTCATCGATGAAGCAGACGTGGAATGCCATGGATTCGAAAGTATCGCCGATGCCGCGCTTTCGAAGGAGGAGCGCAACCTGCCGTTCCGTGAGCGCCAGCTTATAACTAGGGATAAGGCCGCGGAATGGACGACCGACAACCCAGACTGGACGAAAGCGTATGTGGACCGTGCGGAAGCACTCGTTAAGAGAGACCAGATGCATCCATCGATCATCATTTGGTCTCTCGGTAACGAGGGGTTCATGGGACGAAACTTTGTGGCCATGTACGAGCACATCAAGAAGTACGACGACAGCCGACCTATTCACTACGAAGCGGATATCTACGCAGACACCATGGATATGTACTCCAGGATGTATCCCCCGCTCGACGAGATTATCAAGTTTGGTGAAGACAAGGAAAAGAAGAAGCCACTGGTGCTTTGTGAATACGTAAGTTAAGCCATGTTTATCCTTAGTTATATGACTCACCGTATTAGATCCACGCCATGGGCAATGGCCCCGGTAACATCAAAGAGTACATCGATGCCTTCTACAAGTACCCAACTTTACAGGGAGGTTTCGCTTGGGAATGGGCGAACCACGGTCTTCTCACCAAGGACAAGCAGACCGGCGAGGAGTTCTACGCTTATGGTGGTGATTTCGGCGAAGAGGTTCACGACTCCACTTTCGTCATGGACGGCCTTGTCAACTCCGACCATTCGCCCAACGCTGGTTTGATCGAGTACAAGAAGGCTATCGAGCCCGTACAGCTTCTAGAAGTGAATGGTTCAAAGGCCACGTTCATCAACCGTTACGACTTCATTACGCTCGATCACTTGGTCTGCAAATACACATCAGTCTCCTCTTCATCCTCTGATGGGGTTACTGGAGATCTGGAAATTCCTTCTGGTATCTTGCCTGGCCAAACCTTCGAGGTGCAACTTCCAACGATCGAGGCTCGCGAAGATGAGGTCTTTGTTAGCATCTCGTTCCAGCTGAAGGAGGCTACACCCTACTTGAAGGCAGGCTTCGAGATCGCAACAGCACAAGTTCCTGTGACTCCGGTGTCGTCCTTGAAGAAGCCTCAATCATCAGGCAAGCAAGTCACTGTTGAGACACCATCCCGCAACACCCTCAAGATTACGACGGATCAAGCCACTTGGGAGTTCAACACGCTCCACGGCAGTCTCACCTCCTGGAAGCAAGGCTCGACCGAGCTCATCTCCAAAGCACCTGAAATGGACATCTTCCGCGCGCTTACCGACAACGACATCCCGCAAGACGGCTGGGACTGGAAGGACAAGCAACTCCACCACGCAAAGCCATTGACCCGCAAGGTCGAATGGTCACAATCAGGCTCAGACACTTTCAAGATCACTGTGCACCAACGCGTCGCACCTCCCGTCCTTTCATGGTCCATCGACTGCGTTCTCACATACACATTCAGCGCCAACGGCACCCTATCCGTCCACGTCACCGGCACACCCAAGGGCGAGAACCTACCCCGCACCCTCCCCCGCATCGGCCTCGTCCTAGAACTCCCCGCGCAATTCCAACACGTCGAATGGTTCGGCCGCGGCTTCGGCGAAACCTACCGCGACAGCAAGCTCTCCCAGCCCGTAGGCAAGTACACAGCCTCCAGCATCGACGCCCTCTGGGTCGACTACGAAGTACCCCAAGAATCGGCGAACCGCACAGATACCCGTTATGTCAGCGTCACTAACGGCAGCGGCGCTGGATTGCTCGCTCAGTTCGCGGATAAGAAGGGTGGGCAGAGGAAGTTGTTTGACTTCCAGGTTAGCCATTATAGGATGAAGGATGTTGCGGCTGCGGACCATCCGCATGAGTTGAGGAGGAAGAAGAGGGAGGAGGTTGTGCTGAGGTTGGATGCGGAACATCATGGGCTGGGTAGTGGGAGCTGTGGGCCGAGGACGCTGGATGAGTATAGTTTGCTGTGCGTGCCTTTTGAGTTTGAGGTTCTGTTGCAGGCTCCGTAGGTTGATGTCGTCATTCAGGACACAGTTCGACGAGGCGGAATATAGAACAACAGTTCATCTTGTGACGGTATATTCCAGATGTTCAGTTCTGACGAATTTTTGGCTTCTCGTATCTGCAGTCCCAATGTCGGTTGTTCTTGTAGGCGGGCCGCGGTGGCCTTGCGGGCGTCCTTCCACGTGCGCTACTGCTCTTTCCCTCACCTTCACCTGTCGCGACTGCCAAATTTTCGCCCACTACCACCAGTTGTTTTCCACCTCACAACCTACACGCTTTCTGATTCTTATCCTGTCCAAGGTCAACACCATGGCGAGTGGAACGAAGAAGCGACGAGTAAGTGTCAACGCGACTGCATCGGCTCTTGCCAGTCACGATGACGCAGCTGCACCTCAGTCGGAAGCAAGCTAACATTTGACAGAAGTCGCAGTCTCCGGCCCGCGGTACCACTTCAAAGCGTGCACGCGTGTCTTCATCCGGTACCTCGCATCGCACCCAACGCCACGAGGACGATGCGCATTTGTCGCGCGCCGGATCTGTCAGGGACGCATACCTGGCCCAGAAGCAGGGTCATTCAATATCACTGCCGACGGGAGAAGACTGGATATTCCGAATCAAGGTTATATCGTCTGCAACCGACCTCAGCAACGATGTGTTCAAGAACGCCGTTCAAGGCCTCGTACGAATGTGCTTTCCCGAGGGCATACTGGGCCAACTGGGACCTGAAGTACTAAAGCAACATATGCGAGAAGAGAAAGCTCCGGAAAAGAACATACGCAGGATGTCAGAGATATTTGGCAACGAGATGACGATGCGCATGGCCTCGATGGTTGCCGAAGACCTCGACACGGCTGCCAAGATTGATGCGGTGCTCAAGGCTATGTTATCTACCAGCGCAAGAGCGCATGGAGATAAGATTGGAGAAGATATCTTGGATCACGTCATTGCTAGTTTATTCCGAATGAAGGCGAAGGCTCCAAAACGCTCCACGGAATGGCTAGCCCAGGCGAATGTACCACAGGACAATCACAGCAGGGATGGAGATGGGAGTACAAGCGATGTGTCCGATGAAGAACCTACACCACCACCAAAGGTGAAGAGACATAGGAAGCGGGACAAAGAGTCGAAGCGAGCACGGCCAGGTGCTGATGACCATGGTGCAGAATCCACGAAACCAGATGTCAGCTTACCAGCAGCTCCGCTTCCAGCCCAGCAACACACTTCAAAGCAAAAGCATCGGAAGATATCTTCGAGGTGGTCATGGGACATTAAGGAAATGGATCTCGCAGATGAAGCTGTAGCTGGAATCTTTTCACGCACCAGTGATCTATTTGCTTATCATGCATTGCCGATTGCGAAACGCAAGCTTGGACCTGATGCATCGAAGAAACAAATCAGATGCGAGATGCAGTCCATGCTCGATGGCATGCCAGCTGAGGAGTTCGAAAAATGGGTTGAGAGTTTGCAGAAGCTACTCAGTGGCGATCGCGAGATGTTAAAGCGACCAGACTCACATCCACAAAATGACGAGCAGCAGTTGACTCGCGAAACACCAGCACCTGTGGATACCTCGAAACGCTCTCGAAGAAACACGAAAAATACGTCGGGTAGCTCATCCCGCCCACTCACCTATGCAGAAAGGCTTAGCACACCCTCACCAGAGAGACCCACCATCAAAAGCGAGATTGTGACCCATCCATCGGGAAGATCGGGCGAATCTTATGACGACGCTCGAATCAATTCGTTACCGGAAGCGACGGGCGCGTATCGACCTTTGTCGACAGCTGAACGGTACGCCCAGCCACATGCGAGCGGTGCAGAAACTGAGGGCGGATACGCTGTTCGGCATTCCCGTGGCATCATAGATCTGGTCAGTCTTTGGAAGCGGATACCATTCAATTAACTAACCTTACTCAGGCGCCGTCGATTGAATTCGAGACTCCAGTGGCGGTATTGCTCTGGGGCACGGGTATCATCACCGCACTTCACTGTGCAGAAGTTACACAAACGATCATGAACAACCTTGACCGCAGAGTCTCGGCTGCAGTAAGATTTCGCTATCCAACTGTAACACCTCAGCTGACTAGTGTGAGGAAATCATCGTTACGAGCTTAGGCGGCACGGACAGCACTCGCACAAAGACTGAGCTCGAGCAAGCTATCATCCACGCGTTTCCCAAACTTGGACCACCATTCAGCTTTATCAACACTTTAAAGAATATCGAGAAACAGCTCATACCTTGGGTTGTTGCAAAACCGAATGCATTCCCAGAACTGAGAGCTATGCCCTTCGTATTTGGCCATATGCTGACAGTAAGACTTCGCACACATCTTTCGATAGAGCGCTAACGATCTCCAGCATATACCTGTTACTTTGGATCTACTCTTTGGTTCCTGGTCCGCGGTATCAATGATGACTGGCCATGAAGTCTGGGATATGCTACTGACGATTCTCCGGTGTCGAGGTATCTCCGAGGTATTATTCTCATGTTCAAATATTGTTGATCGCTTTACTAAGTATTTGTCAGGCATCAGCGGCCAGGTCTGACGTCAACTTTGAGCAAGTGGACAGTCTTTGTAAGGCGCACAAACTTCCAGAAACAACCAGGCGTGTTATTTTTGAACGAATCTTGCGTAAATTGGCATTCTCTCACAAAGAAAAGTTCACGGAAGTTAAGGCTACGTCAGTCGTGAAGATATGGGAGGAGAAGACGGGGTTGAAGTGGTGAGATCCAGGTGAGGTCGCATGCGCGGTGTGACTTTGTAGCATGTCCTAATGCAACGATGAATAGTATGGCTGGTGTATAACAAAAGGTGGTCAATCACGGAGAGCTTGGCGAGCAACTTCCCGTATGGCTTGATCAATGGGTAATGAATGTCGCGCGGGATTCTAAACCCGAATTCATGATATCCTGGGCCTTAATAATTGTCCATACCGTTGATATATCACGAGCCGGTAACCATGCGCAGTTAGCTGATTTTTCTCTAGCTTGTGAGCAATCTCTTCAGAAGTAATCCCATAAAACTTGTTTCACATTCATTCTAAGTAAAGTGTTGTCAAATTAGAAAGACTGCTAATTTCAACACCAAGACATACATGCATCAGCCACTTAGCAAGCGCAAGACATCGACATCCACAGCGAACTATCACTCTGCGAGGACAAAAAGTACGAGATCACGAACCAGGAACTCCATGCGTGATACCAGCAACGTAAAACCAACTTCAACTTCAAATTGTACACGAAACGCGATTATACTACAAGTCTATGAATTACCGCCCTAACCCAAAACCCTACCAGCAGTAGAAGCAGTACTGCGGTCCTTAGTCTCCACCTTCCTCAATCCCTTACCCGCAGTGATCTCGCCAAGTAAAGCTCCACGGTTCGGTGCTCCACCGGGAGCCTTCATGCTAGGCATTGGGGGTGGGGGTGGTGCTCCACCAGCCGGAGGTGGCGGTGGGCCGGGAGGAGGCGGAGGTGCACCGTTCGAGGGCATTGGCGGGGGTGGGGGGATGCCTGCTGGAGGCGATGTCACGGCTGGGCTTTCGGCACGGGGGCTCTTGTTGTCCATGGAAGAGAGAGGGCGCGGTGGCGCCATGGTGCCGAATAGCATGGAGGCTAGCTGCTTGGCTCCACCTTGGGTAGGCGCTTCGTCGTCGTCGGACGAATCGTCGTCAGAGTCGACGACGGACCAGTCATCGTCGTCTTGCCTTCCCAACCTGCGCGCTGAAGGTGCGGCGGGCTCGTTGAACGTAGGCATGGCAGCCTTGTTGGCGTTCTCCTGCGTTAGACGGTGGAAAGGGTTTGTGGAAACCTCGCTCGTGTTGCTAGGTGGGGGCGGAGGTGTGGAGACGGTGCTGTTCTCCTGGTTGGACATGGCCATCTTCTTCAAGAACGGGTTCTTGGTTTCAGTGTCGCCCATCCCAGGATGAGGACTAGTCACCGAGGACGTAGGCGGGCTGGCGATAGATGAGGGTGGTGTGTTGTGCGAGATCTGGGGCATTGGTGGCGCTTGAGGAGGTGCTGTGTCACGCGGCAACTCCTGGCTGGCGGTAGGGGTAGTGTCTTGAGGCGTGATGTTTTGCGGGCCATCGTCGTCCGACGACTCGTCATCGTCGAGCGCCTCAAGCTGCATCTGTAGTTGACGTTCGCGTTCACGCGCAGCTTCAATCTCTGCACGCTGAGCAGCCAGTCGGGACTCCTTCTCTTTGGCGTCCTTGGAAGCAGCCGCTCTGCGTTTCTTCTCTTCGGCCTTCTTGAGTTTGCCCTGCTGGACTTGCTCTTCGAGGGCGCGAAGTCTGGCTGAAGCAGACTCGCGCTCCTTGGCCAATTCGTCCTCTTGTCTGCGTTCCTCATCCCTGATGTTTGTTAGCGCAATTTCAAATGATAGATCGAGGTACACGTACTCCATGCGCTTCGTCTCGACTTCTTGGGCCTCCTGCTGTTCGCGGATAGCCTTCTCAGCCATGTCGTTGTCTGCTTTCTTCGACTCTGCTTCCGCTTGCTGAACGTCGTGCTGCGCAATCTCGTTCTTGTTCTTGCGCGACGCTGGCGGTGGGGGCGCTGGCTTCTTACCACTGCTCTTGGATGGAGCGGGCGGTGCTGCAGATTCGTCGTTGAGACGTCTTTGACGCTCTTCCTCGCGACGCGCATCCTCCTCTTCCGCCTGACGTAGCTTCTCTTCGCGTTCCTTCTTCTCACGGTCGGCGCGCTGTTGGGGTGTCTCACCAGCCTTTACTGGAGCTTTGATGCCCAATGCAGCCAGACGCTCGGCCATTCGCTGCTCAGCCTGTTGTTTGATGAAGGCCGCACGCTCCTCTGGAGTCTTGTATGCCGAGTACGAGCCACCGGCGGGCGTAGTCGTTGATGCGCGAGGAGGAGGCTCGACACGACCAGCAGGACTCTCATAGCGTGACGACGATGGTCGGTTGTCCTCCACACGAGCAGCCGATCTAGACCTGTAGTTGTCGCGAGATGAACTGCACGGAATTAGCATGATGTCTCTTGATACTAATCAAATAGTACTTACTCGTCTTTACGGATACGCGAAGCGCGACTGCTGCGCTGTAGATCAAAGATGAAGTCCTTAACGTCATCTTCGACACCCAGGGCTTCCTCCCATCTACGACGTTCATGTTCACTTGTGTTGTCGTGTCCTCCCTCCTTCAGGCTTGACTCTAGACCCCTTGTGTATTCGTTCACGCTGTCTTCGACGTCCCGGATCATGCGCTCGTTGTTCTCTCTTTCAGCTCGGATGCGCGAAGTCTCCTTCTCCAAGCGCTCAGTCGCCGCTCCAGTGTCGTCACTGGCAGGAGCAGGCCTTCCTGTCAAGGCAGCAGAGCGTGCTTGCATCATAGCCTTGGCGCGGGCTTTCAAGCGATCCGATTCAGTTACGGCACCGCCAGGTCCAGTGCCCACGATGGTGGATGCAGATCCGGGATGCGCCTTGGCATCTCTGAGTCTGAAGAGCTCGAGCTGGGCGTCTGCGATTTCACGCTCAGTTCGGCGCACGTTGGACGCAAGTTCAGGCAGGCGATCAGTCAAGGTCTGGAGTTGGCGCTTCAGGGCACGACGCTCCGCACCCGAGTCAGTTGATCTCAACGAAGCCTTAGGGTGAGCATCAATGTCTTCTTGTACCCTGCGAATGCGGCGATAGAGATCTTCAGCCTCTCGGCGATCTCGACGGTCGAGCGCATCATCCTCGTCAGCAGCATTCTCGTCTTGTGTGTCCATGGCATCCAACAAGATTTGCTTCTCTTTGACTGACTTCCTGAGCTGATCAAGGGACATTTCATCAGACCGTTCAGAGGATGGTGAAGCCGGCTGCGCTGGTGAAGGCGAGCGACCACCACCTCCGAGGCGATGTCTGGCGCTCGACTTGTAGCCTACGTTATCGTCATTGTTACGGAATACCGTAGCATCCTTTCGGCCGCCAGCTTGTGGGCTACCAGCACGGAACGAGTGGGACTTCAGGTAGCTGACACCAGTGCGCTGGGGCTGGAGGAAGGCACCGGAGTTCTTCCTGTCCTCGGCATCTCCACGCAGCAAGTTCTTCATTGCGCCAATAGAGTCATTGATGTTGCGCGTAGAAGGGGGGACCAACTCCGGAGGCAGACGAGCAGGAATGGGATAGCCGTTGAGCTTACGGTAGATCAAATGCATGGCAACGGCGAATTGGTCCAAATCAAGACGACCCCTGTCAGCAGAGTCGGCAAGTGTCCATATGCGCTCCAAATCTGGCTTGGGCAATCCACTCTGTCCAAAGATCTCAAGAGCTTGAGCTCCGCTAATGTAACCCTTGGTCATGCCGTCCCAGGCCTTGAAGGTGTCATCGTACAGCTTCTTTTCTCCCTTCGTAATAGCCCAAGGAATTGTTGCGTTACCAGTCAACCCAGCAGTCGTATGGTTGCCACCCTCTCGGCCCGTCTGGGGCATCATCCGTTGCGCCAAAGCCTCGATGTTTGGTAGTCCAGTGGCAGGGGTGTTCGCTAGGCCCCACTGACCAGGCATGCCCGTTGGTTGAGCATTGAGGGGAGCCATGCCAGTCTGGTTGGGTGCGAGGTTCGAGCCGAAGCCAGTGGGCATAGGAGGCATCGGTGGACGCGGTCCGTTGTAACCACCTGGAGCTTGTCCGAAGCCAGTGGGCTGTGGCTGCATGCCCGTGGGCTGCTGGCCGAAACCGGTAGGCTGTGGTTGCATGCCTGTTGGTTGCTGTCCGAATCCAGTCGGCTGTGGGGCCAGAGAGCCCAGCAACTGGCTGTTTGAAGGTTGTGGCTGCGGCTGCTGAATTGTAGGAGGCTCGTTGAACTTGGGGGCGTTGGTGGCCGGCGTTTGGCGATTCGACGATTCGTCCACGACTCCAAACGA